AACCTAGGCTTTTAACTAGCATAAGTCCGCTCGTTGTCGCTTCGCGTGTGAGCGAAAACATGATATTTTAAAGATTAATAGTTTGAAATTTGATCCAAAGTAAAAGGTTCGTCATTACAACTTCATGTAGTCGACGCAGCGATAAACTTTAATAAGCCAGAAGAGTCGTCGAGCAAATGATTCTTTGTTAAATCTTCTCTCGTAACACTATTGATTAGTTTATATTCTTTTTGCTTTGTTTCTTTTTTCAAGTTCATTCTCAATCAGAAAGAAAAAGAGACACTAAAGCGAATAAAACTTGCTCATGACCCAAAACTCGGCATCATCATGTTCAACTCTCTTTGATCGGGTTGAACCGAGTTTGTAACAAATACACAACCGACCCGACCAGACAATTTAAAAAGCGTATAAAACTCACACCCACCTGAGAAATTAACAAACACTAAAGTGGATAAAACTTGCTCACGACCCAAAACTCGGCAACATCATGTTCAAATCTCTTTGATTTAGTTAGTATATAACAAATTCACAACCGACTCGACCCCCAATTACAAAAGCGAAGAAAACTCACTCTTTCTTGAAAACTTGTAAACATCGGGTCATTTTTATCAAGTTAAATTAGGTTGGATACCCATAGGTTTGGGTTCTCAATCAAAAAGAAAAAGATAAATAAAAAACACTAAAGCGGATAAAACTCGTTCCCCACCAAAAACTTTACACACCAAATTCAACTCGCATTTACTGGTTCGAACCGAGTTTTCAATAATCCACAGTCGGCTCAATTTCAAGTTGACAAATCCGATCTCAGAATTTGATAACCTGCTAGTCAATTACAATTTCATGTAGTCGACGCAACGATAAACTTTAATAAGCCAGAAGGGTCATCGAGCAAATGATTCTTTGTTAAATCTTCTCTCGTAACACTATTGATTAGTTTATATTCTTTTTGCTTTGTTTCTTTTTTCAAGTTTTGCTTTGTTTATTTTTTCAAGTTCTTTCTCAATCAGAAAGAAAAAGAGACACTAAAGCAAATAAAACTCGCTCATGAACCAAAACTCGGCATCATCATGTTCAACTCTCTTTGATCTGGTTGAACCGAGTTTGTAACAAATACACAACCGACCCGACCAGACAATTTAAAAAGCGTATAAAACTCACACCCGCCTGAGAAATTAACAAACACTAAAGTGGATAAAACTTGCTCACGACCCAAAACTCGGCAACATCATGTTCAACTCTCTTTGATTTGGTTAGTATGTAACAAATTCACACCGACTCGACCCCTAATTACAAAAGTGAATAAAACTCACTCCTTCCTAAAAACTTGTAAACATCGGGTCATTTTTATCAAGTTAAATTAGGTTGGATACCCATAGGTTTGGGTTCTCAAGCAAAAGGAAAAAGATAAATAAAAAACACTAAAGCGGATAAAACTCGTTCCCCACAAAAAAATCTACACACCAAGTTCAACTCAACTTTACTGGTTTGAACCGAGTTTTTAATAATCTAAAATCGGCTCAACATGCCAATTCTAAAAGAAGATAATATTCTCTCGATACAAAACTCGTCAAGACCGAGTTTTGCTTAAATAGTTATTCTCAACGAAAAGGAAATGGAAAAATAAAATAACATTAAACAGACAAATCTCGCTCTCGATCCAAAACTCGTCAACACCGTGTTCAACTCGCTTTGACCAGGTCAAATCGAGTTTTTAACAAATTCACACTCGACCCGACATGCCAACTACAAAAGCGAATAAAAATCGCTCTCGATACAAAACTCGTCAATACCATGGGTTTGGATTTAATTGTCATTCTCAACAAAAAAAAAAAAAATAGAACCGTTCCGGTTGCAACCAGAAACCGAATACCCAATAACTCAATCCAATTTACAGTTTTGGTGTCTGTATGGCTGGTCCGATCTGGTTAAAACCGAAAAAACCAGATTGTAAAAATAAAAACTATCCTAGCCAACCCAGTCATAGCCCACACCCAAGCCAACTCCCTCTCTCACCCCAGCCCACTCTAAATCCCCCTAACCCTTATCCAATTAACAGTTTCCCACTTTCCTCTCAATCTCCAATTCCCTTCCCATCCCACTCCCAGCGGCGGACTTTTTCTCTATCCCACCATCTCTCTGCCTCTCCCAAATCCTCTCACACAAACACCCACAACTCAAACTCCAACTACATCTCTCTAGCCTCACCCTCAACTCACGGCGGCACCTCACGGCGACGATGAAACAAACACGGCGGCGATGACCATCCTCTCCACTCGTTGCCTCCCTACTTGGCCACTTGCCGCCTTTCCCACCCAACTCCCTCGCTGGTTTGTAAATCGCCATCTTCTCCTCTCTGCATGCCATGAATATACTACCTTTCGTATTACGAGAACCACCAAGTAAGTAAGGATGCAAATTAGGACGAGTCTTGAATCAATCACGGTAAGGCGGATGCCAGGTCCAGGCAAGTATAAATTTAACACATATGCTGGATTTGGATCGACGGGGAGTGTGGTGCTAGGTGCGGTCATCTGCGGTGAGAAATCGGTGTTCCTACTAGCTAGGTGCAACGTACGTAACAAAGAGAATTCAAGTTAGTCGTGATGTAGAGATGGGGAGCTCTTGGCAGCGAAATTTGGACCGGAACAATCTGATCCCGGAATCTGATAGCCTTCCTTTTAAGCTGAAGATATAGTGGCAGATGAAGTACAAACCGCGACAGTGGTTGTTTGCCGCAGTATACAAGAGATGGTTAATAATGTTCTATGGACCCATGTGCCATGAACTGCATATATATGAAGTTGTTCGACGAATTCATTAGGAATAAAGTGAATGGTTGGTGACTGTAATTATTAAAAAAAAATTATGTTTGTCTTTAAGTTCATTCGTCGTCGTCGCTAATATTAGTTCAGTAGTTCAAATTTGATCACTGTGTCAGTCTAAATTTGATCATTGACAATGTTAACCGAGGCGGCTGACGGAGACTAATCAACCATAACAAAACTGGAACTACTCAGCTAATTAATCTTAGAGACCATAATAAATAAATACTTTTTTCCGGGCTCAAGATAGGGTGCATAACCATGGGTTATGCATCCATCAATAACCAAATTTGGACCCTTCAGTTAGAAAATTCAGATCTAAGGATAGAGAATTAAAGACCATTTTTATTTTCCTTAGTTTTTTTAATCGGCTCATATCTTTTTCGTTTAACTCGGATTTTAAATTTTTTTGCACAGATGGAACGAGTTCATCGTGCTCTATTAAAATGAGATCAATTTTCAATATTTTTTAAGAAAAAAAAATTCCGGCCTCTCGGTACCAACTGCATACCATGTAGTATTTTCTTCGTTTTTAATTCGTTTTTGAACACGTTTGCACAGAAGGGACGAGTTCATCATGATCTATTGGATCTACAAATTTCTGGGTGAACAAATTACATGACCAAAAAATACCACACAATACCATACAATACCACCCTGGTACGGGGTGGTATCTTGTGGTACACAATGATAAAAGTCGTAAATGACAGTTAATATACTTCTACTATCATGTATTCAACCATCCTACAGTCTTGGTTTGTTCATACCACCATGGTACGCTTTTCAAACTATAGGTATGCTCGTATTTCAATACCAGTCAATACCATATAGTATAGATTGACTGGTAAAAAATGTCTCGATTTTGTTTATTCGAAAAATATATCAAAGTGGATATCATTTTGAAGAGCACAATTAATTTGATCTAACTATGGGAAAAAAAATTCGACTTAAAACGAGTGAGAAATCGTCCGTCAAAGATTAAGGAGGGGAAAATTAAATACTTTCTCGGAAAGAGGGATGTTGATGTGGGCTGGTTATTCATGATTACTCATCATAAGATTACTGACCTGATCCATTCTTTTTTTTCCGACAAACATGAAATTATATACTAATCCGATAACCAAACTAGGAATTTACCCGATCCACCGACTATGGAGACATAAAATTCAGTGATCATTTTAGTAATTGGGCCCAAATAAACGTGGAACAACTCGGCCCAAAACTTGTTGCAATGGTGTTTTCCCTTCCTGGATCCACATGCTGAATCGGTGAATCCCATTACCCCCGAACCCTAATCACAAAATATCCCCCTTTTTGCCGGGCTCTGTTCGAAAAAACTCAGCGGAATAGCGATCGCATCCATCCCGATGGCTGGCGAGTATAATGAGAGAAAAAGGAATTCGGGATGGGAAAGTTCCGCCGGCGGCTACAAACCAACCGCAAGTTCGCCGTCGAGGGAACTGCCGGATGAATTAGTGGTGGAGATTCTTTCCCGTCTGGGGACGCTGAACGAAGCCGCGAGATGCAGCAGCCTCGTGTGCCGACGGTGGAGGAACATGTGGCGATTGATTGGCGGCGGGATTCTGGATTTCGACAGGTTTGATGACGACGTACTTCCAAGGCACGACGAGGCACGATGGTGGGGCACCGCAGATGAAGAGAGGCGTCGATTCGCAGATCGGGTCGACCGAGCCCTGACTTGCCTTGTTCATCATGAAAACTTGGACGCCCTGAAAATCGGGTCCGACTTCCTCGAGATGGATGGGGTCAGGAGATGGCTAGAATTCGGGCTGACCAAAAGAGTCAAACAAGTTACCCTGTCGTGCTACTTCTCGTCCTGCCACTTCCTCGGCGCCGGTCAGCTCTGTCTCAAATTTTTCACCCCTGAATTTCTTGCCAAGCACGACCTCGGCCGCCTGGAGAGTCTGGAATTGTTTGGTTTGTGCTCAATTTCCCAGGCGACGGTCGACCACATCCTGTCAAACTGTCCGTCCTTGCGACTCTTGGCCCTCCGCAGCTGCATTTTCCAGGGCGAAGATACAGTTCTGAGACTTGGTTCCAGCAACAATATCACCATAGAATGTTTGGATTTCGATCACCTTTCCAATGTTGCGAGGATAGAGCTCGTCTCTGCCCCTTGTCTCCGTACTTTCAGGTTAGGGGATACTCGCTTTCTATTGGGCCCGGCTCATGTGGCAGGGAAAAGGCCAACAAGATTGGCGGTGATAATTCAAAAAAAAAAAAAAAAAGTGAATGGCAAGCAGATGAAGCAGGTGAACTCCCAACCAAATTCATTAATTTGGTTCCCTCTTCTTTTGCTATAAAAGGGACGTTGAGTTCCCTTTGGAAAGCATCCCATTTTTCCATCTTCATCATTCCTCTTTGCTAGCTCTCGGTTCTATTTCTTTCTTGTGGTTTCGGTTGTGAAACGTTTTCACAATCACGGGTAGATAGGAGATTTCCTTGTGAGTGAAATAGTGAGGTTGTTTGGGAAACACCGTGTGTTCTATTTCTTGTATCGAGAAAATCTCTGTAACCTACCATTGTTATAGTAAAGAAATACTCCGGAGCTGCTGTTCCCGTGGACTGGCCCAAAATCAGGGTATACCACGTAAATCCTCGGTGTCATTTATTATTATCTATGCTTGTTGCTATTTTGAGAATAGTCGTAGTATATTGCATTATTAAATTACCGAAGTAAATTGATCTAAGTAAGTTGGTTACCGTAATTCTGGAGGCTCTGCCACCAGGTCCAACTTATTTGTGAACTTTTTACAAGCGTGTGATTTCTTAGTGCAATATATTTACCCGCTATTCTCACCCGCTGCGCCCAACAAGTGGTATCAGAGCCACGTCCAATGGAGGCAAAAACAAGCAAGATGATAAGTCTGAATGGCTCCAACTATCACATATGGAGAAACAAGATGAAGGATCTCCTACTCGTGACGGAGTTGCATTTGCCGGTGTTTAGTCCAACTAAACCTGATGGCAAAACTGAAGAGGAATGGGAGTTCAAGCATGAGCAAGTATGTGGCTACATTCGACAGTTCGTCGACGATAATGTATACAACCACATTAGCGGAGAAACTCATGCCAGAACTCTGTGGAACAAGCTGGAGGCACTCTATGCATCAAAGACCGGCAACAACAAATTATTTTATCTGACCAAGTTGGTCCAGATGAAATACAAGGAAGGCAAATCCTTGGCGGATCACTTGAACGAAATTCAAGGGATCGTGGATCAGTTGTCCGGTATGGGCATAAAGATGGAAGATGAGGTGGTCGCTCTCCTCGTTCTGGCTTCCCTTCCAGAATCTTGGGAGACGCTAAAAATTTCACTTACCAACTCTGCAAAAGATGGAGTTATCAACATGGAGATCGTCAAAAGTGGGGTTCTAAATGAAGAGATGCGGAAAAGATCACAAGGTGCATCCTCATCATCTTCCCAGTCAGACCTTTTGGCGGTGGATTTCAGAAGCAGAGGAAGAAGTGAAGCGAGAGGCTCGAAGCAAAGAGGCAAGAGTCGAGGGAAGTCCAACAAGTTTGCCAATATCAATTGTCATCACTGCAAGGAAAAGGGCCACATCAGAAGATTTTGCCCAAAGTTCAGAAACGAGAGAAGGAAGGGCAAACGAGATGAGAACAGTGATGATGATGGTGCAAACTCCGTTGATGAGTTCAATATTGTCTACGAGGAAGATGTTGTCAACCTGACAACACAGGAGACAAGCTGGGTGGTTGATAGTGGTGCTACCATCCACGTGACGTCCAAGAGAGAATTTTTCTCATCTTACACACCAGGTGACTTTGGTGTGGTAAGGATGGGAAATGGCAACCTTTCCAAAGTTATTGGAAAAGGAGAAGTATGCTTGGAGACGATGAATGGTACAAAGCTACTACTGAAGGATGTCAGGCATGTTCCAGAAATGCGCCTGAATCTCATCTCTGTAGACAAGTTGGATGAGGAAGGTTACTGTAACACCTTTCACAATGGCCAGTGGAAACTCACCAGAGGCTCCTTGGTGTTGGCCAAGGGCAAGAAGCTGTCAAAGCTGTATGTGACGGAAGCCAAGATCTCCCCAGAGATTGTCAACTCAGCGGAGAATGGTGACACAATTGAATTGTGGCACAAACGGCTCGGTCACATGAGTGAGAAGTCCATGGCGAAGTTGGCACAGAATAAAGTCATAGTTGGGTTGGATCATGTTCATTTAAAGAAGTGTGTTGATTGCCTGGCGGGAAAGCAAAACAGAGTTGCTTTCAAAAGTTCCATCCCTTCAAGAGCGAAGAACGTGTTGGATCTAGTTCACTCAGATCTCTGTGAACCCGATGTCAACGTCAAATCACTTGGAGGTGCCAGATATTTCGTGACATTCATTGATGACCATTCACGAAAGACTTGGGTGTATACCTTGAAGACCAAGGATCAGGCCCTAGACGTTTTGGAAACTGGCAAGAAGCTGAAGTGCATCCGGACTGACAATGGTGAAGAGTACAGAGGTCCGTTTGCTACCTTCTGCAAGAAACATGGAATTCGGCAGCAATTCACACCACCAAAGACGCCGCAATTGAATGGGCTAGCTGAGAGGATGAACAGGACCCTGCTAGAGAGAGTCAGGTGCTTGTTATCACACTCGAAGCTACCACAATCTTTCTGGGGGGAGGCACTGCTTGCAGCAGTTTATTTGTGGAACAGGTCACCCAGTGTGCCACTGAAGTATGACGCCCCAGAGAAGGTGTGGACACGAAAAGAAGTTTCCTACAAACATTTGCGGGTGTTTGGTTGCAAGGCCTTTGTCCATATTCCAAAGGATGAAAGGTCAAAGTTAGATTCAAAGACGCGACCGTGCGTATTCATTGGCTATGGTCAAAATGAGTTTGGCTATAGATTCTTTGATCCAATCCAGAAGAAGCTTATCAGAAGCCGTGATGCTGTGTTCATCGAGAATGAGACCATCAAAGATGTTGTTGCTAGGAAAGAAATTCCTAGTACTGATGCTAGTCAGCCAAACCTTGAGCTAGTGCCTCCAACACCAGCGCCTACAGAAGTTGGAGAAGAAGCACAACATGATCAGCCTGAGATAGTTGAACCATATGCCCATGTGGAGGTTCAACCAGAAGATGCTGATGACGATGGTCAACCACCAGCCATAGAAGGTTCTCCTGTTCGAACAACAAGATCTGGTAGAATTTCACGACCGTCTACCAGATATCCCGAGACTGAATACGTCTCACTTACTGACGGCGGAGAACCAGAAAGCTTCACAGAAGCTATGAATGATGAACACAAGCAAAGGTGGATAGAAGCCATGCAAGACGAGATGGATTCCTTGTATGAGAACAACACATTTGAGCTGGTGAAGTTGCCAAAAGGCAAGAGAGCTTTGAAGAACAAGTGGGTGTTCAAGATCAAACATGATGAACACAACCGTCAGCCACGCTTCAAAGCCAGACTAGTTGTGAAAGGCTTCAGTCAAAGGAAAGGCATTGACTTTGACGAGATATTTTCACCTGTGGTGAAAATGACATCCATTCGTACTGTGCTGGGACTAGCAGCAAGTCTTAACCTGGAGGTTGAGCAAATGGATGTGAAGACTGCCTTCCTTCATGGTGATTTGGAGGAAGAGATTTACATGGAGCAACCAGAAGGCTTCAAGAAGAAGAACAAGGAGGGATATGTGTGCAGGCTCAGAAAGAGCTTGTATGGCTTAAAGCAGGCACCAAGGCAATGGTACAAGAAGTTTGAGTCTGTTATGGGGGAGCAAGGCTACAAGAAGACTACTTCAGACCACTGCGTGTTCGTGAAGAAATTTCCTGATGGAGATTTCATCATACTTTTGCTCTATGTGGATGATATGCTAATTGCTGGGCAGAATGTCTCAAAGATCAATGATTTGAAGAAGGAGTTGAGCAAATCTTTTGCCATGAAAGACTTGGGACCAGCAAAGCAGATTCTTGGCGTGAGGATCATTCGGGATCGAGGTGCCAAGAAGATATGGTTGTCACAAGAGAAGTACATTGAGAAAGTACTTCAACGTTTCAACATGGATAATGCTAAGGCGGTTAGCTGTCCTCTTGCTAACCACTTTACATTAACATCCAAACAGAGCCCGTCTACTGAGAAGGAAAAGGCGGAGATGGATAAAATTCCATATGCTTCAGCAGTGGGAAGTTTGATGTACGCCATGGTGTGTACAAGGCCAGATATTGCTCATGCAGTTGGAGTTGTTAGTCGGTTTCTTTCCAAACCAGGAAAGGAACATTGGGAAGCTGTGAAGTGGATCCTCAGATACCTTCGAGGTAGCTCTAAAATGAGTCTATGTTTTGGAGATGGTGAACCTGTCCTTGTTGGCTATACAGATGCTGACATGGCAGGTGATGTTGATTCGAGGAGGTCCACTTCTGGGTACCTGATTACCTTATCAGGGGGAGCAATATCGTGGCAGTCAAGGCTACAAAAGTGTGTAGCTCTTTCCACAACAGAAGCTGAGTATATAGCAGTAACGGAAGCATGCAAGGAGATGATATGGATGAAGAAGTTCCTGAATGAACTTGGGTTCCTACAGGAACAACCGCAGTTGTTCTGTGACAGTCAAAGTGCTATTCATCTTGCGAAGAATGGATCATTTCATGCTCGATCAAAACATATTGATGTTCGATATCACTGGATACGAGATGTGCTTGAAATGAAGCAGTTACAACTAGAGAAGATCCATACTGACGAAAATGGATCTGACATGTGTACCAAGACTCTTCCAAGAGAAAAGTTGGAGTTCTGTCGATCAGCTGCAGGGATGACGACGTCGCCCATGTAGTCGGGCGGGGGAGAATTATTGGGCCCGACTCATGTGGCAGGGAAAAGGCCAACAAGATTGGCGGTGATAATTCAAAAAAAAAAAAAAAGTGAATGGCAAGCAGATGAAGCAGGTGAACTCCCAACCAAATTCATTAATTTGGTTCCCTCTTCTTTTGCTATAAAAGGGACGTTGAGTTCCCTTTGGAAAGCATCCCATTTTTCCATCTTCATCATTCCTCTTTGCTAGCTCTCGGTTCTATTTCTTTCTTGTGGTTTCGGTTGTGAAACGTTTTCACAATCACGGGTAGATAGGAGATTTCCTTGTGAGTGAAATAGTGAGGTTGTTTGGGAAACACCGTGTGTTCTATTTCTTGTATCGAGAAAATCTCTGTAACCTACCATTGTTATAGTAAAGAAATACTCCGGAGCTGCTGTTCCCGTGGACTGGCCCAAAATCAGGGTATACCACGTAAATCCTCGGTGTCATTTATTATTATCTATGCTTGTTGCTATTTTGAGAATAGTCGTAGTATATTGCATTATTAAATTACCGAAGTAAATTGATTTAAGTAAGTTGGTTACCGTAATTCTGGAGGCTCTGCCACCAGGTCCAACTTATTTGTGAACTTTTTACAAGCGTGTGATTTCTTAGTGCAATATATTTACCCGCTATTCTCACCCGCTGCGCCCAACACTTTCGCAGGTAGAGTTTGGGGATGGTACTATTCCTCGACTTCAGGACGCACTCTTTACTTGTAGCAAATGCTTATTCCCATGGTCTCGCGATCAATTCCGCAAGTTTGCACCTCGATTGAGGTGCCTCACGATCGAAGTCATTGGTTCTGACCTCCTTCCCAACCCTGCTCCTCGGCCTGAGTGGTTGTTGTTTGAGAAGCTTAGAGTATTGAATTTGTTCCTGCATACAAAACGTGCGCCTCTAAGTTTCTTGGACTGCACCGTCCTGCTAAGAGCAGCTCCAATGTTGCATAAACTATCCATATGGTTCAGTCATTATTTAGATCCTGAGCCAATAGGCCGGGAACCATGGAATCATTGCTCTCCAACGGTGCTTGAGCTGCACCGGGTGGATCCATGCTGTGGAGGTGCCGATGATGATGATGATGTTTGCAAAATCGATGCAGATCGGTCGTGGACAACGACTTGGAAGCATCACTCTCTGAAAGTTCTTGAGCTGCATGGGGTGCATCCATGGAATGGAAGTGTCGGCAATGAAGTTTGCAAACGCCAGTTGGATCTTGTTGGGGGTGCTGCTAAGGGGCTCCCCGCAGAGACTAAGGAATACCGCGTCCAATTGACAACGTATGACGCTCTAAACCCGCTACGAGTATATAAAGGTATGAAACCCACCAAGGAAGGGGGACTTCTTCTCCTTCCTCACTTTCCACTTTCTACTATCTCTCTACACTTTATCTCTCTATCTATTCTCTCAACCCTCTCCACAAACATAAACTGACTTGATCGTCGGAGCTTAATCCGGGGGGCAACCCCGGCTCTTTCACAGGTTTCTTCTCTCCCGACGAGATCGGACGAACGGATGACGAGTCGACCCACACCAACAAATATTATTGTTCGTGTCCTGAGCTAGTTGGGTCAAACAATTGGCGCCCACCGTGGGGCTGATTTCAACATCTGTTCGTTTGATTTCTGAGGGATGCGAGGCTGAAGAAAGGATTTGGTCAACATATTATCCCTGAAACCTCCAACTCTGGCGTCCAAAAGAAGGGAGAATAACTAAGAGCTCCCTCTCTCTGATCTAATCTATCATATCTCTTCCTCGAGATCGCTGCGCCACTGAATCTTCCTACAGATTCATCCCGTCGAGTATCAGTCGCGGGTTTCTTTTGTGGTGTTCCCTCTCCTCCCTCGGGTCCACCTTTCGCCGCCGCCGCGAAAGCGCACTCCACAGCAGCACCCAATCGCAACTCCCATTCAGATCGACAAAGATGATGATTTCGTTCTCATCTAAGGCTGAAGCAGCCGTTAGCGCCGGTGTTGTAGCTATACAAGCTCGATGGCAAGAGCTTCGGGGATGACGAAGAGGATTTCGGACTGGGATTGAGGATTCTTTTGTTCGTTTTCGGAAAGAGGGATGGAACTCTCGATTTGGAGGATACGCAAAGTTTGGTCCGAAGGAAATAGAGGAGCGCTGCAATTGGAGGAGAGAGATCTTCTTCGTTGCCATTTCACAACACAGGCAGAAGCCAATCCGAAAAAAAAAAAAAAAAAAAAAAAAAAAAAAAAAAAAGTGGTGGGTGGCCTTGCAGTCGAGGAAGAGGAAAAGACAGGACAAGTCTCTCTCTGTCAGAAGGGAGGAGGACTTCCCAAGACAAGATGTTGCAAGTTGGTACCAGCCTGGCACCGGCCCGGCCCCACACCAAAGCCTGCCCCGCCTCCTGACTCGCGGCCCACTTCAAATCGGAACAAGGCCCAATGCGCGCCTCTCAACTGGGGTCTTCAAAAAATTGTTGTCGCCGCGAAGGCTCGAACCCGCGCCATTCCTCAACCAGGCGGGCATGTTGACCGGCGGACTATAGCGCGCTGTTGGTACTAAATCGCAGCGCGCCGTATCTATTCACTCTGACTCGCCTCAACAGCACCTCAAGACAAGCGGATCCAAGTCCGCCCCGTCCAAGAAGCCCAAGTCGCGGCCCGCTCTGGCAGATTCAAGCCCGCTAATCACCGGCCCGCGTAATGCTCCTCCGCGCCCCAGGTCCCACACACGCTACATGTGCTCACGCCCGGGCGCAGGGCCCACACAACTCGCGTCCCCAAGCTCCGCCTCGCTTCAAAAAATTTATTGTCGCCACAGGGATTCGAACCCGCGCCACACTTCCACAAGACGAGTAGCCTTACCAGCAGTCTACAAGCGCACCTTGTGTTTCAATGGCGCGGGGCCAAGTTAAAAATCTTCTGCATCCAGCCCGCAAGAAGCCAACCGGCCCAACTCGCGTCTCGCGACTCTCGCCCAAGCAAAAACCCAAACGCGCGGCCCAGCTCCAGCGCCTCAGCCCACGTGCTACATCGGGCCCGCCCCAATTCAAGGCCTGCCTCCGCGTAACTCTGCTTCTCGCCCCACTTCAAAAATGAAGTCGCCACCGGCCTTCGAACCAGCGTCACTCTTCCACAAGGCAAGCATCCTTACCAGCAGGTTACAAGCACACCTTGTGTTCCAATGGCGCGCGACCAACTTAAAACCTCCTGCACTCTTGCTCGCGCCCAAGCGCACTCGCGGCCCAACTCAACTTAGCCCGCCTTCTCTATTCGCGGCCCACTTCCGATCAGCGGCTCAGCATTCGCGGCCCATCCCGACTCAACCCGTGTCCACAAGCGCTCCACCCTTCTGCCCGCGCCACTCGGCCCACTCGCGGCCCGCTCCACCCTTCAGCTCGCGCCACCCGGCCCACCTTCCGCCTCAAACCCACTCGCGTCTCGCCCCGCCTCAAAAAATTGAGGTCGCCGCCAGTCCTACGGCCCGCACAACGAGCCCACGCCAGTCCCACGGCCCGCACAACGAGCCCACGCGGAGTCCAACAACAGCCCGGCCCAACTCGCGTCTCGCCCCGCCTAAAAAATTGAGGTCGCCGCCAGTCCTCGAACGCGCGCCACTCCTCCCCTATACAAGCAACGTATCCAGCAGGCTACATGCACGCTTGGTGATCATTGGGCGCAGTATTCTGATATCAACGAACCCGCGTCATCACCAACTCGAGTCAAAAACTAATTGTCGTCATCGCGAGGACTCGAACCCGCGCCATCACTCCGCCTCACAAGCAACATTACCAGTAGGCTACATACAAGCCTTCTGTTTCAAGGGCGCAGCGTCTGCCTTTTGACAACTCTTCGCGCCGCTTCGCCAATAGAAAGCTAAGTACTCTACCCCTTTTTCACTATCAAATATTGAAATATTTTACTCTCATGAGCGTTAATGGCGATAAGGGAGAGGGCACATTGCCCCGAAGGCTCCAAACTGAGGGTGTACCATCCCCGATGAGGAGCCACAAATAAGTCTCAACGAAGCACACAAATAAGACTTCAATACGAGCATCGAAGACTCCAAACTGAGGGTGTACCATCCCCGACGAGGAGGGCTCCAAACTGAGGGTGTACCATCCCCGACGAGGAGCCACAAATAAGTCTCAACGAAGCACACAAATAAGACTTCAATACGAGCATCGAAGACTCCAAACTGAGGGTGTACCATCCCCGACGAGGAGGGCTCCAAACTGAGGGTGTACCATCCCCGACGAGGAGCCACAAATAAGTCTCAACGAAGCACACAAATAAGACTTCAATACGAGCATCGAAGACTCCAAACTGAGGGTGTACCATCCCCGACGAGGAGGGCTCCAAAATGAGGGTGTACCATCCCCGACGAGGAGCCACAAATAAGTCTCAACGAAGCACACAAATAAGACTTCAATACGAGCATCGAAGACTCCAAACTGAGGGTGTACCATCCCCGACGAGGAGCCACAAATAAGTCTCAACGAAGCACACAAATAAGACTTCAATACGAGCATCGAAGACTCCAAACTGAGGGTGTACCATCCCCGACGAGGAGGGCTCCAAACTGAGGGTGTACCATCCCCGACGAGGAGCCACAAATAAGTCTCAACGAAGCACACAAATAAGACTTCAATACGAGCATCGAAGACTCCAAACTGAGGGTGTACCATCCCCGACGAGGAGGGCTCCAAACTGAGGGTGTACCATCCCCGACGAGGAGCCACAAATAAGTCTCAACGAAGCACATAAATAAGACTTCAATACGAGCATAAAAAAAAAAAAAAAAAAAAAAAAAACATATCAAGGGCGGGGGTTAATTTGCCACGCGGCCAACGAGCCCGCGCGGCCCAACGTCACGCCACCGCCCATTAAGTCGATAAAAATTCCTCAGTGGGAGTTCGAACCTGCACACTAATTTGGACAGCCTAGCGTGCACACCAGTAAGCCACAACAACAACTTGTCCTACAAGATGCGTCGTGCCTATATTTTACCAAGAGACGATCAAGTGGGCCAATTATCACTCGCGGCCCGCGTTCAGAGTCCGCTCCAGTCCATTTCGCGTCATCTGATTCCACCCTCAACACGCGGTCCCGACACCAACCCGCGCAGCATCTTCCCTCAGCCCGCGACGCGCGCAAGCCCAACTCGCGTCCGGCCCGCGTCACCAGTCCGCCCCGTCCATCCTTGTTCCAGTCTGAGTCAAAAATATTATTACCGCCGACAGGAATTGAACTCGCGTCCTTCCTCCGCTAGGCAAGCAACATCACCAACAGGCTACATACGCGCTCAGTGATTCAATGGCGCAGCGTCTGATTTTCAACTATTCCTGACGCCACGGTACCAATATAAAGATAAGTACTCTATCATTATTAAATTTGAAATATTTTACCTCCTAAGCGTTAATGACGCTAATGGGGGGCAAGACGCAAGAAGCTGGCACCGCGTCACTCAAACGCGCCACCAGCTGGGGG